TGTATGATCCACTCTCCCAGCCCACCTTAGGGATAATCTTTCCAACAACAATGATGCCAAGGAAACTTGATTTAGACAAACTCCTCTTGTCTTATAACTGCACATTGCCGACTGCACTTTTTAGGGGGCTCAAGTCCAGGTACAGTGGCTCTTACCAGTAAGCCCAGCACTTTGGAAGGCTGAGACAGGAGGACTGGTTGAGTCCAGGAGTTTGAGACCAGCCTGGACAACACAGTGAGGTCTCATCTCCACACACACACACAAAATTAGCTAAGCATAGTGGCAGATGCCTATGGTCCCAGCTACTCAGGAGACTGAGGTGGGAAAATCACTTGAACCTAGGAGATCAAGGCTGCAGTGAGCCAGGATTGCACCACTGCACTCCAACCTCGGTGACAAAGCAAGACCCTGCCCCAAAAATTAAAAAAAATAAAAAGAGGCCCCCATACGACTTAGGCTGACTGACAGTTGAAGTTTTCATTATTTTAAAATGTAGATGACACCTGTTACTTTAGTCTGTCTACCACCCATCCACGTGGTATGTGTGGGGCTTACAGGGTGTGTGTGTGTGTGTGTGTGTGTGTGTGTGTGTGCGCGCGCACCTGTCCCAATCTGCTTACTCCATCCCCTGAACACAGAGATGGTTTCAGGTTAGGCAAGAGGCCCAAGCTGACTTACAAGGGGCCAATCTCAGGATTTGTGTATAAGCCTTAGAGAAAGAAGTTTCTCTTTCCAGTGAGGCAACTGAGTCTTTTTCTGGAACTACTTGAGACACAGAGTGAGAGGGAAAGCAGCTGGCCATAATGAGAAAGCAAAGCTACCAAGGAGCAAGGGGCTGACATAGAGTTTCTTCAACATTTGTTTAAGCACCTAGATCCAACTGTACCTAAAGCCCATCATTCCTAAGCACTTTGCGATTACAAAAGCCAACAAATCATTTTGTAGGAGAAGCCAGTTTAAGTGGAGATTTAATCACTTAGAAAAAGATACAAAAATAATGCATATGAAAATTACTTTTATGACTTTCAATTCATCTGGATTAACTGAATATTGTCTAGAGGTGCTGATGAAAATCTTTTATAACTAGATTGTGAATTAAATACAAACAAGCTCTTCTAAAGTCTGAGAATGCATAGAGGATCGTAGCAAAGACATTTCCCCAGGAAGCATTTTACTGAAACCCTGTTGTTCACTGTCCATGGAGGGAAAGAGATTGCTCAGCAAAACTAATCTTAGACAAGTCACTCCAGTTGGAATGATTCAGAACTGGATTAATGGTCTTTAAATGAATGTGGCTTTTAGGGTTTTATTCTTGCTGCTTGGCAGAAAATTCCTGTGGGAATGCCACCCAGGGAAGCTCCGCATGTACCCTGAGGTTCTGGTCCTTGTCACCTTCTCAGGCAGACTATGAGGTTGATGAGTGAGTGGCTCTGGGGCAGATGGGGAAAGTGAGGCTCGCATGTGCCCAGCTGGAATTAAATCCTATGCTTTGGAAGCTGAGTTTTGTCCTCTAAGCCAGGCACCCTGCCGTGAAGATTAATGGGGTGACAGTTCTCTAGGGCCTGGAGGTAGTTAAGACAAAAAGTCACCCAAACACCTGGGACTATTTTTAGCCTCTTCGGCACTGGGCTTGAAGACACATGCCAACACCAGCTCTGGCGAAGCATGGCCTTTCAGCTGCATGCTGGTTCCCACTATGTCCCTCTGCCATACAATCATGAAGGTGGAGACTCTGACAAGGTCTCAGGTGATGATTTAGAGTCACCATCTCCCTAAAAGGAGAGGACTTCCAACCTCCCAAGCAACTGCTAATCAAGGATCCGGAGGGCTTTCTGTTTATGTGGACTTCAAGGAAAACATGATTAAATGAATTTGTAGGGTTTAAAATTTGCTATGCAAAGTGATGGCCTGTAGAGAAACATCTGGAAAGCCGACAAACTTTATTTGGCTCATACAAACCTTAAAAGTGGATTCGTCGGCAACATGTATAAAAACAGGAAATTTTCACATTAAAAAATTCAGGCTTCCCCCTTTCCTTGATAAATTGAAACAACTCAGATCTGTTTTTTTCTTTTCCTTCCCAGCCCAGGCTGGAGTGCAGCGATGCAATCTTGGCTCACTACAACCTCCACTTCCCAGGTTCAAGCAATTCTCCCATCTCAGCCTCCCAAGTAGCTTGGATGACAAACATGTGCCACCACACCTGGCTAATTTTTTGAATTTTTAGTAGAGACGAGGTTTCACCACGTTAGCCAGGATAGTCTCAAACTCCTGACCTCAGGTGATCTGCCCACCTTCGCTGCCCAAAGTGCTGGGATTGTAGGTGTAAGCCACTGCCCCCAGCTAACAATTAAGGTCTTGCATTCAATGTGGCAACAGTCAGCTAGAGACAAGGAGTGGCTTCCCCCTTTAGATAGATGAGGCATGGGCGCTCCAGTTTGCCCCTCCCCCAACCATTCCCTATTGTAAGTAATTGACCCCGAAGCCAAATGTCAGCTGCCATTTGTCATCTTACACTAGGTCCTCTTCAACCATTTGTTTCCTGCCAGGCCCTATTAGGTATTAGAGTTTGCAGGTTCTGCAAAATGAACATGCATTAATTGCGTAATAAATTGTTTAGGCAAAATTCCAACAAGCAATTACAAAGAAAATGGCCCTTTTAAGCCTCCTTCAAACATTGGTCTTGTATGGCTATATGAACAGAGACTGAGAATATTAGAACTATTAGAGTCTTCTGAGGTCAGTGTGTTAGGGGCAGAGGGGAATGCTTCTCCTTACCCTCCATGTCTGTTTCCACGTGAAAGAAATTCTGCCAGCATCCCACTCCCGGCCCTTCTCCACTCCTTCATCACTCCTTCCATGAGGAGAGAGAGGGACTCAATAACTTCAAGTTTGAAGCTTGGGAGAGGAGCTGGGTATAGGAAGCATATCTCCTTCCTTATTCTTCTTCAGACAGGGGGCAAAGTGTCTGGAGGACGTGCTGAGTGAAGGTTCTATAGATGGTTCATCCCTACTGAACCAGGCATGCCCCAGTTGGGCACAGCTAGGAACTGGGTGAGTAACTCTCTTCAATTACAGAGAAGCAGGGTTGTTTCTTAGGTGTTGTAAAGACCACACCAATGACCTGGGCTGATGGCTGTTACCATTTAAAAGGTTTGCTACACTATTTAAAAACCTCATGGTGGAAAAGGTGGACCCTCTACCGCCTTCCTCCCCAGGTGCACCTGTCTGCACAACACTCATGTATACAATGTCAAGGCGTTCACAGACTCTTGAAGCCCATTTATAGGCTCCAGATAGTTTTAACCCCTAATTTGGCCCCATGCCTAAAGAGGAATTGTTTAAAGTAACACGAGGCAGAGGCAAGACTGACAAAAGACCGGCATTCTGACTGGCATCCCCATCACTTTGCATCAGCTGTGTTTATTCATTCAACAAGTCTAAGTGCTTGTGTGCCAGGCAGTGATGAGCCCCACCCTTTGGTCTTAACCAAGGGCTCAAACATCAGACTGCTTATTACACAGATGAATGTCTAATCATACATCATGAAAAATGCTATGAAAGAAAGGTCCCTCTTCTTGACAAGGGGGTCTGGCTTATTCGAAGCTGATAGAGTGAGAAAACATTTCTCAGTGGAAATGACCTTGAATCCAGAGCTGATCTCTCAGGGAAAAAATAGGAATTAATTACAAGGAGGAAAGGAACACAAAGAGGCACCCAGACAGGCAGGAGGGAATGAGAGGAAGCTGGAAAGAGGAG